ATGTTTAACTGCTAACTACTAGTGTAAATAAGGTGCAAAGAATATATCCTATGTTCAAAGCCTTCTGTCAATACAATTATTGCTTCTTAATTAAACAATGATAATCTTTGTTTTATTAGATCTGAGACAATACCTAGAGGACATAACACTGATTTTGATCTATTTCCTTTTCTGAGATACTTACTGGTGTCATAAAATTATAGTAAAGTTGATTCAAAATTTGGTAAAAGTCATAACAAAGGTTTAGGAAAACAGACATGAAAATGTCCTGAAGCGTTCACCTCCTACAAACCAGTGTGCAATTAAATATGAAGCTCATTTTGCAAATAACCATCAACAAACCTTGAACAATTTGTCCAAATCCACCATCTTAATAAACACTAGCTTTGGCTCATTCTTCAAATATTAGTAACCTCCTAAAAAACTTATGATTTATAAGAAGAATTACATCAAATATGGGTTAAATACATGTTTCAACCTTTATTCCGTTACATTAAAAGTCACCTGAGATTTTTGTAAGTTATTCTGTTCCAGGACTACATAATGCCTGACCAGGGTTTGACCAAAACGTAGCCTTTGCTTTTTCAAATGTTCTCGATGTTGAAATAACTTTAATGAGTTATGATACTAGCAATCACTTTCAGAATTATCTTATTAGTAAATGTAGTATTTACAAAAACATCTCTAAGCAGGAGCCAAGAAACTAAGTTAATACCAAGTGATTGTCCTGCCATGATATGTATGGTGTTTGTTTGCCTAGTTCTGCCTTATCAATTCTGTCAATCAATTAAATAATTATTTATTATTGATTAGATTATTATTAATTTTATTACCCTTCCACGTTTACTAAAAAAAGAAAGATTCTTAAGACATACCTTGATATCATTTCCAGTGAATTAATCAAAATTACAGTTGTAATATTACTCCTAAAATGTACCATTATATGTGAATAATTTATGTGGTAACAAAACTTCAAATAATGTTCTCATAATTAAGATATACACTTTATTTCACTCCGTCCAATACTCCAGAAAGTCACTATTCTTCTCACATAGTTTTCGTATTCGATCAACCTGGAGGAAGGTAATTCAGTTCAAAGTCCCATGTAACTCTTTATACAAAATCTGAAATATTTAAAGCATGGTTTTATAGGCACTCATATGAACTAATTTTAATACTTGGATATTGCATGATAGGCAACTGCTGACACTAACAATATTTCCGTTTGAATAAAAAATATTACTCCTCGAATATTTTACTCTGTTAACAAGATGCTGTAGGCCTTCGGATTTTGCTTAGGAAACTTAAAACATCCTAAAATGTGTGACAAATTGAAGAATATCTAAGAGCGAATGGGACAATATCCGCCACATTGTTCTTTCATGTAACAAGTTTTGCTATTTCGGTTGACCCTAACCGAAATGAAGATTTGTTTACATTGTGTCACGGCTTTCTCGCCTGTCTCATTTGAGCTTTATGGCGTACCAACTCAATGCCTAGTAGTGACTAAAAGCGTTAAGCAAAAACAATTTTGTAGTTACAAGAATTATCCGTGTTTATAACACTTGCAAAGTCTTAAACTGCTATTTGTTGTCATCAATTGGTAATGATTTTGCACATGTGCAAAAGTGTGGACATTCGTGCAAATTCTCATCAGCAGGCAGACGTAGGTTTCCTGAAGGATGGTGCAGACATTTAACTGATCGTCAGGCCTCTCGCGTTTCTTGATCCGCCTCCATTTTTGTTGTCTTGACCGTAATGGTTTTGTTAAGGTACACATTAAATCGCAGCAATATGTAATAAATATAGCGAGTGTAAATGGCATAATTCGAAGCACATCGCTTCGGATGCATTGTTTGACCCCGGAAATAAGTCTGACAAATCCACACAGCGCGCCCGGCCTGCTGATTGGCCAAAATTGACGCATGCGCCAGTTTTGATTGACAGACTGGATCGGTCTATTACGTCATCGAACAATTCAAGTGACGTCACAACATAACGTGACGATATTCGACCTTGGCCTGCAGCATGTCAAACTATGGCCGCCATTATGCCAGCAACAAAGTCAGTTTTCAGTGTTCGGTTTTGGTCCAACAACAACGTTAATAGTGCAATTGTTACGGTTAGCACCAGCCAGAAGGCCAATATAACCGCTGAAGCGGGAATTCGGGTTGCTTTGACTTGTTTGCCCCAGAACATCTGCCAGTCCAAAGCCAATGTCGAATGAACCGTAAGTCATTTCAACATTTTCTTGAACAGAAAATCGGCGTTCACGTGAGCAGGTTGGCCTATTCGGATATTCTAAAGCGTTTGCTGGCATCTTGGGTGACAACACGTGCTGGAGGATTTCACTAAATGCTCTCTTTTGCGCGCTACTGGACCCTGAAATGTAATGCTTGAGTGATTCCTCGCACTTGTGCTTCGTGATGTTGCAGATTTGTTTTACGTCTACACCTGCCTGAAACAGGTATGTGATGGTGGAAGCTCTGACTGAATGACAAGTGTATACCTGTGATAAACCAGCCTTTTTGGAAATCTTCTGCATAATGGTGCCCAATATGTTCTTTCCCAAACGAGCATTATTGTACCAAACTCCTGATTTCTCGAAATCCTTCCGAGGAGCCTGGAAAAGAGCATCGCAGTCGGGGTGGAGTTTTGACAGATAAAAGAGATAAATACTGACTGGATCCTTGGATGACTCATTCTCGTATATTCTGACATCTGAACAGTCCTGATTAGAGGGACTACTGCCTTGCCAGTTCTTTGTTTGCTCAGCCGAAGTGAAGGTAAGAAACTGTTTGTCATTGTCGTCACGCTTCAGTTGAAGTGTCGATTTGGTGAAACTTCTCCAACCTTCGCCCGTCTTCCCAGAAAGAAACACAGATTGAACCAAACCATTTCTTGAAGCCTGGTTGGGTCAGTACTCTCTAAATCCCCCAAATATCCTGACAGTTTGTCCATATCTCCTCGCTCAATGCAAGGTTTGTGTTGTAGAGATCTTCCTCCCTCTACAAAGTAGGCTTTACAACGAGATTCAAACATGCTGTTTGCGTTTGTAAACTCTTTATCAGCCATTATGTTTATGTTGCGCGAGAAAGGTAGATCTTTTAGAGTACGATGAACTGCAGCTCTCAGTGATCTCAATGTGCTAGGGGTGGGAAGCTCAGCTTTCTTAGTGCGGTACTCAGCATAGAATTTTCTTAATATTTTGGCCAGGTCTTCCGTTTCGACTGATTTTAGATCAATGTTGATATTACGTCGAGATGCCCAGTCTAAAAAACAACAAAAAATAAAATTTGTGAGACAAAATCGTGACGGTTTTAGTTTCTGGCTCATTATTTAATATATCAAATTTGCGGATTTTCCTTCCATTTGGAGTTTATCAAGTTCGTCTTCATCTAAATCGCTGTCAGTTTCATTGATATCCGATTTTTCGACCCAAAGAGAATCGGTTGGTTCACGATGCGCTCGTTCAATCTCCCGAGCCGAGGCTGCCGTACCAACACAATCAGACGCCATCTTGTAATTGTCAGCGTTCGGCATTGTCTGCCCACGCACCCACTATGACGTCACTTGACAACAGAACTGATAGTGGCCCGTCGTTAAGGTTGAGCGGTCCAATATCATTTGCAGCGGACCGCAAATTTCTGATAATGGGAGGGCCGTTTCATGATAATTCCATGTATTTTAGCTATAATATATGTTATTCAATCAACTGTGAAAAATATATATGTAATTATTATGGAAGCATATTTTTCCGGCTACCTGATTGGTCTAGAGGTGGTCACGTGACCGTCAACAGAAAAGCATATTGACTCCAACCCAGGTCTGACCAATAGAGAATACTACACGAGGTCTCATTACATACGAATTATCTGAAAGCGAGTGTCCTTCCTATGGTATCTGACCGGCGGCGAGGTCGAATATAGGAAGATCACAATTCGTATAATTCGTATGTAATGAACCCAGTGTTATTTTATTATTACCCGTCTTACATGCATTTAAATTGACAAAAAGCGTATTTTTGTTATGTTTTGGTTTCAAGCGAAACCCGGTTTCATAAAGAGGTTGAGGAAGAGTTTTGTACTGTAGTACAATATTTGCATGACGTCACACTAATGACGTCACTGCCATGGTAACCGGCGATCACGATGCATGTCAGTTGTCATCGCCTCGTACAGCCTCCTACAGTAAACTACTCCGTTGCACCTCGTTTCTTGGTTTCCAGTTGCTTCATTAAATTTAACATCACTGGTGGAAACTTAAGCGTTTATGTTTTTTCGACAGATATAATGTCTCAGTTCGACTCACAATTAAACAGCGACACGGCAACGTTCGCAATGTTTACATTCCCACAATGCATTTAAGTTCTAGAATGAATGAATTCACGTGTTTGTTATGAATGAAAAAATACTTACGTCAGAATGTGACCTAATTGAGAGGTCATCGGTTATCCAATCAAATCGTTAGAATCTCAGGTCAAGTCGTTACGACACAGGTCAACGCGATACGACACACGTGACGTACGAGATTAGTATGCAACTACCCATACGTTGACCACGTGGGTAATAAAAAGTCATATTAACCTGAGTTACTATGACGTCATTCACGTCAAACTATGACGTCATTCTATTGTTTACATGTCACAGTATTGTTGACATAACGTTATTGGTTTGTAGTGAAAATAAAATTACTTTTCTTGACTAAATGGACATGTTTTGGATTTTAGAAGCTTTTTTCGTTAATTACATAATAAAACAATTATAGACTGGTGAATTCGGTCAATCCCTGTTTTTATGGACCCACGAAAAGCAATATTAACCTCGGATTAGGTCCTCGGTCAACCAGTCCATCACAGGTATGACCTCATCACCAGTCTGTAATTGTATAATGTTGCTTCAGCATGATGAGGCTTCCAGTCATTTTTTTCTCCATATATGTTCTCATTTTCTGTTATTCTGACCAATTTCACATCACAATATACACACAAAAACAAACAGTTTAAGATGAAATATCTTTAATTGCAGTGGACAATAGCCCATAAAATACAACCTTACCATGTGACTTGGTCACATGACATTGATCACCTGACGTACATGACACTGATCACATGACCTGTCACATGACAATCACATAACCCATACACTGCATGACTTCCACATGACATGTTGAGAATCAAAGACTGAAGTTTATAGACCTTTTAGGATTTGAAAATAGTTCTGGTGATAACTATGGCTTTTTACAAGAGTGAGGCAAAAATTTGATTTTGTTGTAATTACACCACGTAAATATACATCCATCCACCATAATTAAAGCTTTGACTACAGAAATCTGAGGTATGTTTTATGATAAGAGCTATACTAAGATCACTGAGGATGAATAAGGATTGATAGTTTCAACATCTAAAGCGAAACATTCAACAGATTCGGCTTACTACTGATGACTGAAAGCAAATTTCGCTCTAAAACACTCAGAAATGATTTTGTGTCTATGAAAGGAAGAATCAGATGTTTGCCTCCTAAATACAAGAACAAATTTATACATCCAATGTACATATAATACACACTTCATGGCACATGACATTCATTTGACTATAGACCAATATGGGTTCAGGATCACCCTCATGTATTCAAGTACATAGTGATACATATACGTGTCATCAAACAGGAAGCAGTAATGATTCACCTAGCTTCAAATCAAGTCACTCTCCATATGAAACTGAGCAAATACATCATCAAACAGCAAGATGATTTCACAAAATGTTTTAAGACACATAACATCTAAAAAACCCAGTCTTTTGTCGTCTTTTTTCACACAGTGTGAGCTGATGAAAGTAACCATGGTAACTGGAGTAAAAATTGTAGAAGCTAGATGAACATTAAGATAAAATCTCTAATAAGATGTGCAATAACTTCCTCAAGTCTTACAGTTCAGCAGCTTTTCGTTCTGGTTTACAAGTAAAACATTTAGAGCACATGGGAATATATTGTACTTCGAGCTAGGCTATTGCGTGTTTCATAAAGTCCTCCTTGGTCAGGGCTTCTGGCCTAGTGAAAAGGAATCAAACTACTTACCTAACAACATACCAAATATGTCTAAAAGTCTTCATAGATCAGGCCATGTATTATTAGTCAGTGTTGTTTCTCTGTTTCAATAATGAAATAATCAAACTCAAGCTGTCTACCAACACTTGCATTTGAATCAGTTTACATGGATTCCATGTAGAACTGTTTATTGTCTCTTTACACAGATATACTGACTGTACCTTACATCAGTAAATAACATGAAATGCAAGTTTTATGGACAGTGGTAAAGTCGAGAGGTGAACACATGCTGATACCATATATGGTCATTACTTGGCTTAAAGCTTTTAGAAGGGTCACATCTGACCTTGAATCACAGAGTGTTGTCATCTCCAGGTAATACTAACTAGAAGTCCTGTCTCGATATAGGTCAACATTTCACAAAATATGTACACAATAATTAAATATTCAGACACCCATTCATCCTGTACAAAAACCCTCAATCAACTCACAAGTAGCATGTCCTAACAATCATCTCTCCTGCACTGCCTCGTCAAGGGACTAGTACTGAATTAGTACTCTGTGGATATTAGTGCTGTAACTATGCAGCAAACTATCGATAGATTGCAATTGTTGGGTCTCTGATAGCAATTAATCAATGGCAGAAATGAAGAACTATTGATGCACAGATTCGTTCACTTTGTTATCCACCCGTTACCTCTTAAGCCAACATGGTCGCAACACAGCATGCGACTTGGAGTTTGAAAATGTCAATAACAATAAGCTTATGTTTTAACTGTTTACTTGATCTAGGTTTCAAGTTTCTTGTCAGTTATAAAAAGAAACTGAAACTACTTCAACTTGTTTTTATCTCATATAAACTATACATTCATTTGAGAAATGACTTGAAATGAGACAATTCAAGGAGAAAAAAAACTATTGCAATAGTTAGTCGCAATAGTCTGTCGCAATAGTTGTTTCCCCCTCAATAGTCACCCCTAGTGGATATGGAGGACTTTTTGACAGAAAAAAGTCCTTTTCTAGGATTATCACCATTGCAGAAATTCTGGAAACATCACTAGTCTGAACATGTGAGTTGAATTCTTGGAAGTGGCACTGATCTTACAATCTGCTCTTGGCACCAGTACCTTCTATGGTGCTTTATATACCTGTCTTGTATCTGTAGTAGAGTTGCGTACAACCATGGAGGCCATTTGTAGCAGCAGCTAGAATCATATTATTAATAATGATAAGTCATCTTTTATAGCGCACGGTTCCAAACACCAAGTGATTGCTCGCGGCGCTTAATCAGAATCTGGTTCTTATTACCCCGGATAACCCAAGCTGCCTGTTAGGCGCTAGAAGGCTATAGTCACATGACTTATCCAACCGGGTACCCATTTTCTGCTGGGTGAACAGAGGCAATTTGAACAAACTCACTTGATGATCAGAATATGGACTATTGGACAACATCAATATCAAGTAAGTTTACCACTCAAGGTCTTAATCTTATATATAGCAGATTTTCCTCTAACAATACGAGCTCCATTCTCCCTTTGGCATTTAGTGGTAAGATTTAAGGACTACCACATTTATAAGCTCCATTTGGCGTTTACTTGTCAGGGTCAAGGGACTTAAGACAAAGTATGCAGAAATATTAATATTGAAATACATACGCCTTAACAAAGACAGTCAACCAGTTGAAATGGATGTGCCTGACATGTGTCAAATGTTATCTCAAGGTTCACACTACAGCAAATGACAAGTGTACAATGATGTTGTTTGAGGATTTGTGTTACAGTGACCTTTCATCCTACCTTCACATTACATGTCGTAACTGTCCCGTCACCATTACAATCCCACCTCTCCTGTGTACACCCATACAACTTGCCATACACGCACCCATAATTCACATACACCCAACAAAAATGCATTTCTTCATTAGATTAAACACCTGTACAACCCTTCTTGTAGTAAATATACACACTTCTTCCACGCTCAAACAAGGTCATGACCTTGTAATGACCTTCACCTCATTTAATGATTGGTACAGTCTAATGTTTTACATTCTTCAACAAACGATTATTCATTCGGCTGTTTGTTGTCGTTCTGTTATATTACAATTTTCCTGAATGACATCCAGCTTCAAGTCGAAGCCACAAGATCATATTATAGCAATCCCTTGAAGTAACCCTCAAAGTTAGGAACCAGCCCCTGAAGGAACTGGTGGAAGAAATCTCAGTTCCGTTTAATCTGCGATCTCGGTATCTAGGATTCCTCCAGGGACTATAAGTAAATGCATATCATACAGATGATTGCCAACACACATGTGACAGTACTGGCTGGCCAGGCTCTGAATGTCAGGCCTCAAAACAAAATGACAACACAAATAAATCATGACTTGGTTTTGTCACTAAAGAGAACTATTTGAATGTTATCGAGTGGCAACAACAATCTGATGTCTACAAAATGCCATCAAACTTAGCTCTTTGAAATGTAACAGTGTGGCAATTGTATATTCACTGAATGTGGACAATGGCAGCATGACAGGGGAATATTACATGAATATACTCACCGTAACTGGCATATTCACTGAATATTCATATAATCAGTGTTATAATTGGTTATTCACTGAATGTGGACAATGGCAGCATGACAGGGGAATATTACATGAATATACACACCGTAACTGGCATATTCACTGAATATTCATATAATCAGTGTTGTAATGGTTATTCACTGACATGTGAATATTACATGAATATACACACCGTAACTGGCATATTCACTGAATATTCATATAATCAGTGTTGTAATGGTTATTCACTGAATATTCACAGAGCAACATTGTTAATGGCGACTTGTATGATTTTGTCAACTCTTAAACGATTGATTGGTGTCAAGGATAAATATAGCAATATTCATAGCCAGTTTGCACAATAATAAAAATATGACATTTATTATTAAAACAGGAATCAATTCTGCAGCTGTCACAGAAAGCAGTAAAATCTTGAAACAAAAACATCCAGCCCCTAGGATTTAAATTACCTTCACCCTCTAATGCCAGTGTTGGTCTGACTTCACCTGCATAAATCACAAGCATACTTTCTCAATAGCTGAAAGTGATACTTACTTACTAATGACAGACCATAACGACTAAAGGAAATACGCCCAGTCAGTATCATCCTCGATAATCTCCTGGGTATATGTTACAATAAATCTCCACTAAGTACCCTGGATGCATCTATGGCTCGATAATTGTATTACCTCCCTTTGCTGGCTCCACCTTTTCACAGTAGCCAATCAGATAAGCCTTTACAACCGAGCTTGCCAGTGTCAACAAAGACAGCTGCGAACACTTGCTCGCTGTGTGACTCAGATTTAGGGAAGTGAGTTATGATAGAAGCCTTGTGATTGGTACACCTGATTGGATGAAAAGCCATAGATGCATCCAGGGTACTAGTGGAGATTTATCAGAACGCATACCCTGGAGATTATCAAGGATGAGTCAGTATCAACTGAGGTTCCTTTCAGTATCTCCACTATCTTCATTGGTTGATGGCAAGAGAACTTACAAGAGACAGGATTCTTAACCGTTAACATATGTACATATTACACCATGTCTGTTTTATGTGATCCTGCTTCAGGGGCATGACTCAGTCATTGAGGTCAGTTACCATGGTAATCAAGCATATGACATATTTTTTAAATGCCCTGTATGACCACTGTTGGATTATTCTGAGTTAAATATCAGGATAGGAAAGTTTTTGAAGGAACTGAAAACCTGACAAGGGTTCTGCACCATACAGTGAAGTCATTAATTGAACAATTTCATCCTCATTAATAGCTTACAGGGTTCTGTCTAAAGCCCTTTTGAATAAATTGTATTGAAGTAGTGGAAGAACCTCCACAGAATACCATGTTGTTTGCCATACTTTGTTTATGTATTTCCAAGAAAAATCACAAAACATCATAAAGGGGGTATTTTTTGGTTGAACATTTCATTAATCCGTTTTTTGTGTAAGTGTAGAAACCTCCGGCACATCTTCCTCAAAGAGACATAAACAGCATTGCCATTTCCTGGTAGAGTATTTCTTCCCTTGAATCAGTCCTGATAATCTGTAAATTCTCTCTAGCTTATGATGACATGAGTCTCATGTCAGTTTCATCTAGGCCGAATTTTTTCATAGGTAAAACGGTTTCCCTTTTCAACATATTCCCCATCTACGAGGTCAAATGTCTGATGCTTCACATAATGAAACTGTTGTACAGCAAACTCATAAAACTCATTCTCCATCCGCCATATTGGGGACTCCTGAATTCGGGCCAGGGTGTCTGGTTTGGGAGCAATCTTCTTGGTGGTTTTCCGTAGATGGGACTTGCGACCTGAAGCATAAATACCATTTTCATCAACAATGTAACAAAATAAATATTCATTTGTTGGGTGTGAGTTCCACCTTTTTCAACTGTAAGTAACAGCAGATGTGTTAGGTACCACAAATACTCTTTGTGTACAACAATGGTACCCATGGGAGAGGTTCCAGGCATTCCTGAAAAATGATGTGTGAATTCACCCCAGAAAATAATTTACAGCATTACAATTACTTGTCTCTCTCAAAAGAAGACATTTTCAGTTATGATCATTACAAAAATAATTACCAGCACCAAAAATACTCATGGAAACAAATAAGGGAACACATGAAAGTACAAGTGTTCCTTTATTCTTTTCCAGAATTTCACTCACAGTGCAAAGCTTTGAAGAAACATGTAAAAGAATAAAGGACCACTCCTCCTTTCAGGTGTTCCCTTATTTGTTTCCATCAGTATACATCATCTTCTCAAATAGTTCTTCTCTATTTTGTCCTACAGTAATAAAATCACTTTTGTTATACTGATATTCCTGACAACAGACATCCCCCCAATATTTTCAAAGAAGCCCTGGTGGTTATACACAGGGACTTGAGTTTACTCTTCATGATCAGAGATGCATGAGAACAGACGGCAGACATGGTGGTTATACACAGGGACTTGAGTTTACTCTTCATGATCAGAGATGCATGAGAACAGACGGCAGACATGGTGGTTATACACAGGGACTTGAGTTTACTCTTCATGATCAGAGATGCATGAGATGGTGGTTATACACAGGACTGAGCATGATCAGAGACATGGTGGTTATACACAGGGACTTGAGTTTACTCTTCATGATCAGAGATGCATGAGAACAGACGGCAGACATGGTGGTTATACACAGGGACTTGAGTTTACTCTTCATGATCAGAGATGCATGAGAACAGACGGCAGACATGGTGGTTATATACAGGGACTTGAGTTTACTCTTCATGATCAGAGATGCATGAGAACAGGCGGCATGATCAGAACATGGTGGTTATATACAGGGACTTGAGTTTACTCTTCATGATCAGAGATGCATGAGAACAGACGGCAGACATGGTGGTTATATACAGGGACTTGAGTTTACTCTTCATGATCAGAGATGCATGAGAACAGACGGCTGACATGGTGGTTATACACAGGGACTTGAGTTTACTCTGATCATGATCAGATGGTGGTTATACACAGGGACTTTAGTTCACTCTTCATGATCAGAGATACTAGCACAGTACTCAGGGGTTTACATCATCTACTACATACACTTTCAGTCAGAATACTGGCACAGTATCCAGAGGTTTTCCTACTTCAACAAGGATACCAAAACTGATCCTCCATGTTCTACAGGTTTCCATCAAAACTGACTGACAAAGACTTAGGTTAATGTGGTTGAGAAGATACCAAATGTCTCCAGGAAGGCGAGCCAAAAAGAATTCTCAAGACAAGATAATTTCATCATGTGATTGAAGTAAAAGCCACCTGTTCTGTTTCTGAAGTCTGGTGTTTCAAATTCTACTAGTTTCTTGTTTAATGCCAGATATAGCAATATTACAGTTATATGACAGCATCCAGACAATTTCAGTAAAATAGAATATGAGTCTTATTAAACAACAATGTCCAGATTAAAATATGATGTCTTGTGTCGCTGAGTTTACAGTAAGTTTTATCTAAACACTAGACAATCATTAAAATAGTGGTTGATAGCCTGTATGGACAATGCCATAATGAAATGTGTGAAGGTGATTTCACTAAACACAAGCCTCACCTGAGTTGTACAGCTGGACAGCCCCTCGGAACATGCGTGGTAGAGTTGCCTCCAACACTGCAATGAAGTCACCAAGCTCCTCCGTAACACCCACCACAAGGTAATGGTGGATCAGATTGTGCTTGGCCTGTTCCAGAGCCCATCTACTTCCAGGAACCCTGTAACACAGAAAGTTAATCACTGAGAACTTCCACCTGGTAAGGCTGGAATAGATTGTGCTTGGCCAGTTCAAGAGCCAACATACTCCCGGGTACCCTGTAAGAAAAACAGTTTCTTATTCAAAACATCCACCCAGGAAGAATGGATTAGATTGTGCTTGTTATTCCGAACTGAGAATGATGTCCCAGTATCTCAGGAAGTTTGTCATTCAGAAACTACTTCCAGGTAAAGATGGAGTAGACTCTGCATGGCCTGTCTAGAGACCACCTACTACCGGGTACCCTGTAACTCAGGAAGTTTGTCATTCAGAAACTACATCCAGGCAAGGATGGATTAGACTGTGCTTGGCCTGTCCTAAAGACCACCTACTACCGGGTACCCTGCCAGTCAGGAAGTTTGTCATTCAGAAGCTACCTCCAGGTAAGGATGGATTAGACTGTGCTTGGCCTGTCCTAGAGACCACCTACTACCGGGTACCCTGTAACTCAGGAAGTTTGTCTTTCAGAAACTATCTCCAGGTATGGATGGAGTAAATTCTGCATGGCCTGTCTAGAAACCACCTACTACCGGGTACCCTGTAACTCAGGAAGTTTGTCATTCAGAAACTACATCCAGGCAATGATGGATTAGACTGTGCTTGGCCTGTCCTAAAGACCACCTACTACCGGGTACCCTGCCAGTCAGGAAGTTTGTCATTCAGAAGCTACCTCCAGGTAAGGATGGAGTAGATTCTGCATGGCCTGTCCTAGAGACCACCTACTACCAGGTACCCTGTAACTCAGGAAGTTTGTCTTTCAGAAACTACCTCCAGGTATGGATGGAGTAGATTCTGCATGGCCTGTCTAGAGACCACCTACTACCGGGTACCCTGTAACTCAGGAAGTTTGTCATTCAGAAACTACATCCAGGCAAGGATGGATTAGACTGTGCTTGGCCTGTCCTAAAGACCACCTACTACCGGGTACCCTGCCAGTCAGGAAGTTTGTCATTCAGAAGCTACCTCCAGGTAAGGATGGATTAGACTGTGCTTGGCCTGTCCTAGAGACCACCTACTACCGGGTACCCTGTAACTCAGGAAGTTTGTCTTTCAGAAACTATCTCCAGGTATGGATGGAGTAAATTCTGCATGGCCTGTCTAGAGACCACCTACTACCGGGTACCCTGTAACTCAGGAAGTTTGTCATTCAGAAACTACATCCAGGCAAGGATGGATTAGACTGTGCTTGGCCTGTCCTAAAGACCACCTACTACCGGGTACCCTGCCAGTCAGGAAGTTTGTCATTCAGAAGCTACCTCCAGGTAAGGATGGAGTAAATTCTGCATGGCCTGTCTAGAGACCACCTACTACCGGGTACCCTGTAACTCAGGAAGTTTGTCATTCAGAAACTACATCCAGGCAAGGATGGATTAGACTGTGCTTGGCCTGTCCTAAAGACCACCTACTACCGGGTACCCTGCCAGTCAGGAAGTTTGTCATTCAGAAGCTACCTCCAGGTAAGGATGGAGTAGATTCTGCATGGCCTGTCCTAAAGACCACCTACTACCAGGTACCCTGTAACTCAGGAAGTTTGTCTTTCAGAAACTACCTCCAGGTATGGATGGAGTAGATTCTGCATGGCCTGTCCTAGAGACAACCTACTACCGGGTACCCTGTAACTCAGGAAGTTTGTCTTTCAGAAACTACCTCCAGGTATGGATGGAGTAGATTCTGCATGGCCTGTCCTAGAGAGCATCTAATACCGGGTATGCTGTACCAAGATGTTAGCCATTGGCTGTTACAGACAACATGATACATAGAAAACAATCTGCCAAAATTAACAAGGTGCAGAATAGAAGACAAAAACCAAAGATGATCAATTGCTATTGTTTGAAATTAGCTACGAACTGCCAAGCTGAATTAAAGGAAGATTGATGGAACTGGAGTAATAAGGTTTTGGAAAAACAACCCAAAAGTACATAAATTTCTCAAATTTTCTAAAGAACTAATGGATCTAATTTCGCATAGCTCAATCAAATGAATAATCATAAATTCAAATAATAGTTAATTGTGTAATGAAATTCACATGTGTTTTTTATTTAAAATTACAACTCAATTTCCTTATCGACCTTATTCTGAACATTCCATAAATTTGCGAGATCCATGAGGTTAAAATTGTAATCAGCACTTTTTTTCACAAGAAATCAGCATTAGAAAACAAATCAATCACATTTGGTTGAGACAGAGGAAATTGAAAATCAAATCAGAACTCTTTCAAGGCGATTAAATTTCAAAGATTTAAATCTGAAATGAAACAAGACTGCAGTGTGAACATGGAACTATAAAACTATCTCCGACTACTGTGACCTGCCATTTCAGTTATTGTCCATTTTATTAAATAACTAATCCATCACAAAGCTCACACACATTAGTTTCCTATCAATTATATATCGAGATAATTCATCACTTGCTTCTCATTATCAATTTGGGAACGGATGGAATGCTATTTTCATCCGAAGGTGAAACCTTTTCGTCTACCCTCCTGTCATATAGAATCAAGCTGTACAAGATCTTAGTTCCATCTCATCACCATCACGACATGAATGGCTCATCAGGAAAATCAGGGGTGTTCAGTTTTCGAGATTTTCTGGAATGTTCTTTCATCTTTCCCTGTGATGGAGCTAGGAGGTAGAGGTGAACCTAGGCTGCAACTGTCATCAGGATGCACGATATGATGCATTACTATTACTTGTGCTACATCTAACAGCATGGATGCTGTAAGGCGACAGCTTGTGTTCAACTAGTGTCAGTTCTTACTGGCATTGCAATGACAACCCTGTTAATTACATCCCATACCTGAAGAAACAGATATAGGTAGCTGTCCACTAGATTTAGAACCAATTTAATACCCTTGACACTGGCTTACTTCTGAAGAATTCAGAAATAATACTCAATAAGTGAATGAATGGGTGGGTGAGTGATTGAGAGAGTGCGTGGGTATTGAAGTGAGTGGGTGGATATTGAAGTGGGTGAGTGAGAGAGTGGGTGGGTATTGAAGTGAGTGGGTGAGAGAGTTGGTGGGTATTGAAGTGGGTGGGTGAGAGAGTGGGAGGGTATTGAAGTGAGTGAGTGAGTGGGTAAGCGAGTGAGAGAGTGGGTTGGGTATTGAAGAGTGGGTGAGTGAGTATTGAAGTGAGTGGGTGGATATTGAAGTGGGTGGGTGAATGAGTGAGACAGTAGGTTGGTATTGAAGTGAGTGGGTGGGTATTGAAGTGGATGGGTGAGTATTGAAGTGGGGTGGGTATTGAAGTGGGTGAAGTGAGTGAGTGAGAGTGGGTGGGTATTGAAGTGGAGTGAGTGAGAGAGTGGGTGGGTATTGAAGTGGGTGAGTGAGTGAGTGAGTGAGAGAGTGGGTGGGTATTGAAGTGGGTGGAGTGAGAGAGTGGGTGGGTATTGAAGTGGGTGAGAGTGAGTGAGAGAGGTGTGGTATTGAAGTGAGTGGGTGAGAGAGTTGGTGGGTATTGAAGTTGGTGGGTATTGAAGTGAGTGGGTGAGAGAGTGGGTGGGTATTGAAGTGGGTGAGTGAGAGAGTGGGTGGGTATTGAAGTGAGTGGGTGAGACAGTTGGTGGGTATTGAAGTGGGTGGGTGAGAGAGTGGGTGGGTATTGAAGTGAGTGAGAGAGTGGGTGAGTGAGTGAGAGAGTGGGTGGGTATTGAAGTGGGTGTGGTGATGAGTGAGTGGAGAAGTGGGTGGGTATTGAAGTGATTGAGTGGGGTAAGTGAGTGAGAGAGAGTGGGTGGGTATTGAAGTGTGGGTGAGTGAGTGAGTATTGAAGTGAGTGGGTGGATATTAAAGTGGGTGGGTGAGTGAGTGAGACAGGGGGTGGGTATTGAAGTGAGTGGGTGGGTAATGAAGTGGGTGGGTGAGTAAGTGAGAGAGTGGGTGGGTATTGAAGTGGGTGGGTGAGTGAGTCGAGGTGAAATTGGGTTTAACGTGGTGCTTGAGAATATTTTGCTCATATGACGACGTGCATGCGTGTGTATGTGTATGTGCAGCTGCTTGTACTAGCCCAGACTTAAGCTGGTTTTATAGTGCTAGCCTGCTGAGATACCATGCCACAGTGAATCATGAATACCCCACTCAGACACAGTATACTGACTCCGTGCCGACCAGTCCCTGTTGTACCCATTAATGCCGGGCGCCAGGCAGGGACCAACAAGAACCATATTTTAATCTCTTTTGGTATGACGTGGTCGGGGATCGAACCCGCGACCTTCCACTCTCCGGGCGGACGTTCTAACCACTACACCACGGAGGCGGCTGGGTGGGTGAGTAAGTGAGAGAGTGGGTGGGTACATATTGGAGTGAGTAAATGGATGGGCGGAGAGTGAGTCAAGGGCTGAGTGAGTGTGTATGTATTAGAGTGAGTGAGTGTGTGAGTGGATAACACCTGATAGTGTTGGTTGGTTGTTTAACGCCGCACTCAGCTATATGGCGGCGGTGTGTAAATAATTGAGTCTGGATCAGATAATCCAGTGATCAAGAGCATGAGCATCAATCTATGCAATTGGGATACGATGACATGTGTCAACCAAGTCAGCGAGCCTGACCACCCGATCCCATTAGTCGCCTCTTACTACAAGCATGGGTTACTGAACACCAATTCTAACCGGGATCTTCACGGGTCTGACAGTGACATAATACAGATAACTTAAAAGGTCCTAAAATCCTGGCCTCAAAAACCCAGTACAAACAGTCAACACATGTAGATAAACCAGCAAGCCAGCCATTACTTTTCCATCAGAGTCAGCAACCTTGCAGCAATTTACTGGCAGTCTCTATGTGGGATTCAAACCCAGACCTTTGGTGTGTCAAGTGAAAACATTACCCACCCGGCTACCCAACAACCACCATCATGTTAATTCGGTATTAGACTTGGTCTAAGCTACCTCGCAGCAATATACTGGCAGTCTCTATGGGGGATGTAAACCCAGACCTTTGGTGTGTCAAGTGGAAACATT